TTATATAGTTGATATGTAATTACTTATATAAATTAATCAATAAAGATATAAGCAAGGCCTCACCTTAATACCAAAAATAAAAAAAAAACAATGTAGTAATATGATAATATAGTATTACAGTATTGCTAATTGATTTAAAATTAGCTTATTATATATTTGAGTGCTAAACAAAAGATTGATTTTGCTAAGCACTACTTTGAACTATAAATAGTTTCAATTTTTTAGTAAATATTTTTGTTTTTCAAATTTTTTGTTTAAATTATATTAAGATTTTATTAAAAAAAGAATACAAAATTTTTTTTTAAATTTGGCAATCCTGCCTTTATTGTTACTACAAAATGTCTGAACAAAAAGTCTGCAATTAATTAAATGTCTTCAACCCTTCTATTTTTACAAAAAGACTCACTTGGCTACTTATAATGGTGTCTAGATGTAATTAGAGATGTGCTGTATACATTATGCAGGTGATGTTACATGCTACATAATGCTGCATAATATGATGCAAGTTGCCTAAAATTTAAAAATACACATACAAATTATTATTTAATTTGATTCATATCATTTCAACAATAGCTTTATAGACACTTGCTTCTATCAAATTAATATTCTGTAAAACCAATAAAAATTAATCTACTGGGTCTTTTTCCACTATATAATCCAATATTTTATATTTTCAAATCTGATAACCTTCAGTAATAATACAAAACTGTTTACTGCATATAGGTTTTAAGAGGTCTATAGTATATTATACAGAATTGTATAATGCATCATATTATTGCATTATGTGATGCAAAGCCAAAAAAACTTGTATTTGCACATCTCTAGGTGTGATCTGCTACAGTAATAATTCACTTATCTCTGGCATCTAACTTGCTAGATGATTCTTTAAAAAATCACTAAAAGCTTATTGCTAGCTTTGTCAAGATTACTTTTTTTTTAATATTTTTCTTTCTTCAAAGAGAAAAAGAGAATGGAGGAAATAAAAATAACAAAAAGAAAACAAATATGATGAAAAAAAAAGAAAAAAATGAAAAATAAAAAAATGAATACAAATATAAAAGAGAATATAAAAGAGAAAATGCCAAAAAAAAACTAAAAAGGATAGTAAAAAATTCTGTTTTTTAGCACTACTATTATACATGCTAGGCTGAAAAAATTATATAACAAATATGATATTTATATATCTTTACTGTAAAGCTTTGCCTTAATATTTAAATTTTCTAACACTATTATCTGAACTTCTAACCAATGTAAGTGACCAAACTTAGTATTACATGAAGCAGCATGGCCTGCAAACAAACCAAACCAGACACATGATTGCAGCCTGCTGGAGCTGTTCAGATTTGGAAGATATAAACACTGCCAATCTTTTGGAGAGGGTAAGCTGTTTTGCCCACTTTTGTGAAAAATTTTGGAAGAGCAGAGAAAAAAGACAAAACTACTTGTTTTGTTTGATAAAAAAGTTTATTTTTCTTATTAAATATAATAGCAATCTACTTCTCTTACTTTAAGGCTAGAAGAATAGGTATTTATTTTTTTTGGTAAGTAATAAACTCTAAACTTGTTGGCAAGTAGTATATGAGAACTACTTCTATACAACAAGTGCCATTCCTTGCAGTAAGTCTAAATTATAGTTGCTGACTTATAGGCAGTGTTGGCAATTCTACCGGCCAAACGAAATTTGTTTGCCTTTTTGGCCAAAAAATTGGCCAATTCAGCCAAAAAAACATATGAATTTGGCCAAATTGCCATTTTTTGGCTGGCCAAAAATATGTTTGGCCAGTAAAATTGCCAACACTGCTTATAGGCTTCTCCCTATAACACTCAACCAGTGTAGATGCTTGTGTTTTTTAGAAAGCTTTTAAATTTTTTTGTGGAAAAGTAATTGTCAAAAAGAGTTGTCTTGAAAATCATTGAGAGTACAAATTGAAAAGTATTTTTTTTGAAATAAATACATATAGTTATATAGATCTAGTAATAAAGTATCTTGAATTAAATATAATAAGTTAGTAATATTTAATTTTATATCTTTATATAGAAAAGCATTTTCTGTTTTATTAAAATTAGATTATTTTTAAGTTTAGATTTAGTAAGCATTTGGAAAATAGGATTTTTAGTTTTGTTTTTAAAGAAAATTGTTATAAAAAGACATAAGAGTAGATGAAGTATATCTTTAACTTGATTGCAACATGTGCAGTTTGATATATAATAGAGATAAGAAATCTATGATTTAAGTTTAATATAGTAGATAATTGTTTAATAGAATTTGAGACAAAGAGAAAAATGTTAAAAGTTAAAATTTTGTGAATTAATAATATTGATAAGGAGTTTTATATCAAATTTGTTAATATTTTCAATATTTTTAAGTTGTAAGAATTTGTTAATTGTTTTGATAAAAATTCAATTTTTTGTAAATTTATATATTTGGGTTTGAAATAAGGTTTGTTGCCAAGTGAAATAAGCAGGAGTAAAAAGAAGGTTGGTATTGAAGTAGATAGGAGATTTATTAATGCTTTTTTAGCAAGGGTCTGTATTATGGTAATAAATATTGCTAGAGTGTAATTTAACTTTGTGTATGTATGGAATATATTTTTGTTAGTTGATAGAGTATAAATAATATATAATATATCCTAGTTTTCTTGTTTGATTTGTGTAGTTGTGTAATAATAATGATAGTTTAAATTTTGTTACTAAAATTAACCTATGAGAAAAGTAGTCCGGGTGTTGGTACGGGCTGTATGGATAGGCACGTGTCATTGGGGAGTGTGGCGTACTATGTAAATCAAAACTATATGTGGTCATATAATAATGAAGATTTTTTAGCTAGATAGTAATTATAACAAAATTTTAAATATATGCACAGCCCTAACGGTTCGATAGAATTGGATAAAATTTAGCAAAGACTAGTATTATGTCTCTACGAACAAAGCTATAGAGACATTTCTTTTATTTAAGCATGAAAAAAATTTTGATCTAAAGAAAAAATCTAATTTAGTTTCTTTTCTAATGAAATAGCTCTATAGCTTTGTTCATAGAGACATAAAACTAGTCCTTGCAAAATTTTATCCAAATCCATCGAACCGTTAGTGCTGTGCATCTATTTAAAATTTTGCTATAATTAAAAACTTCATTAATAAATTTTATTATATGACCACATATAGTTTTGATTTACATAGTACGTCGCACTTCCCAACGTGTCATGTGGCATATAAAGGCATGAAACACGAACCAAAACGTGCAGAATGGCACGTATATTGGGTGGCACAAGTTTTATTTCGTTACTTTACGTGCTACGCGTGCCAAAACCCGTTTATGGTTTAGCAAAGTGCAGCAAAGCCCGGTCCAATTCGGCCCAATTCAACGTGCCAACACGGATCACAGACGTACAAACTCAGACATCCGGCCGTTCCACACTTGACCGTGTCTCTTCGTAGTAACACGTGCCTACATGACCACTTTTTTCATAGGGTAAGTGAAAGAACTATTTTATAAATTGCAGTGGGTGCACGCTCGCAACGTTATGAATACTGTCATGTTTATTGTTAAACTTTGCAAAAAAACCTAATTTACGTTTGTAGAAATAAAAAATAAATTTTATTAAAAAAATAAATCTAATTCACGATTTTAAAAATAAAAAATAATATTTATTAAATGAAAAAAAAAAGGTTGAAGAACAATCCAATAAATGATATCAAAATATTGATAATTTGAACTTAGCACATGCACACCCAAAGTGATATTTACCAAGAGACAAGACACCAACATTCATATCCATTTATTAACATTTTGAGTTCATTGATTAAATGAAGTATGATGATAATATTTAATTCAAAACGGTACTTTTCCTCAAATGAAGTGAAATAATTAATTTATCACACCTATTATCAAAATTAAAAAATTTTTTAAATGGCTCTCCGGATTCACCCAATTCAATATCATATTTTCTAAATATTAATACCATTAAGGTTTTAACATTAGTCATTCCCATATGACGTCCTGGGCATATTCTAACTCCTCCACCAAATGGCATATAACTATTTTCTTCACCTTTTTTGCAATTAAGGAATCTATCGGGTATGAATGATTCTGGATCTGACCAATGGGTTTCGCTGTGATGGATATAATCAATGTTAGATATCTAATGTTCTCAGTGTTCTCAAGAACATTAAAATATTTTTGAAACCACAATTTTTGAAAATTATGTTCTCATTTGAGAACATAAAATTTGTAAATTGTATTATAACTAAAAACTTTTGAGAACATTAAAAATCTTTCTGAGAACCTTATGTTCTCAGAGAACAAAAAAAAAATTTCAGATCTCTAACACTGGATATAATTACAATTAATAAAAAATTCTTGACCAGCTTTCCAATCAAGACCACCGATTGTATCTTCTTTAATTGAGCTCTTATAAAGAATTGGTGCTATAGGGATGATGCGTAAAGATTCTTTAATACAATCTTCAGTATAAGTCATTTTAATAATATCATCGTAAGTTATGGGACGAGTTTTATCATCACAGAAGATTCGATCTATTTCTTCATAAACCTTGTATTTTGCTACGGGATTCAAGCAAAGAAGAAATATTGTGAAACATAACACGGAACCTGCCTTTAATCATAAATTTGTATTAGATAATCTTTTATAATAATATAATTATTCAATATATATATAATATCTATATACTTACAATATTAACACCTCCAGTTATAGATTCGAGCATAAGTTGCATGGTCTCATCATCAGCCATAGGTTTTGAATGATTATTTACTTTATCAATTCGTATGCTTCTTTCTGTATTAGCACATATAAATAATGTTAAGATATCTGAGCTTAGCATTTCGTCTTTGGGTGTATTCTCAATTTCCTTTCTTCTGTCTCTTACTATATTAGTTAAATATTTATCTAACCATTCTATGTTCTTTAAATATTTTGATTGTTGAAAATTAAAAGGAGGTACGTAACTCCTAATTAATTTTGGGATAAAATAAAAGAAATGAATGCTTTTTTGCCAAAGGTGAATTCGATTAATTAATTCTTCAGATTGTCGAAGTTCGTTCTCAAGGTTGAAAGTTTTACAATTATATGGTGAAATATAATTAAAATATGTTGCCATTGCGTAAGTTTTTTTCCTTGTGAACGTATGAATGATTAAATCGTTCTCAAGCTTGTAGATCCATTTGAAAAATCCAATTCATCTCCTGAAACTAACCAGTATTCATCCAATTCATTAAAAAATTTTTCTATATCTTGAACAAATTGCCTTAAGAATGAAGGTATCATAATACTTTGAGTCACCATCGTTCTATTATATTTCCATGAATTTAAATCAGTATTAAGTCCGATTCCTTTGTTAGTAACTTTCATTTAATTAATCCAGGATCCCTTAGCCCGAATTGGAAAGTTTGATTTTGGTGATAGGTCATTAATTTTCTTAATTAGTTTTGCATTTCCTAACCAAACTTTACGTTCCGAACCTATAAATACTTCAAATATTTCACCGTATTTTGCTTGAAGATTAAAAAATACATTATCAATTTCTCCGTGAAATAGATGAAGATTGCCTAGTGAACAATGAATTAATAAAATATATATTGTAAATTTAAAAAGTGCGTAAAAATTAGTAATTTTAATCATACATACCAATTAGAGGAAACGGAAAAGGTCCTGGTAAAGGATTGTGACGAGTGAAATAGGAGTAATAATATTTAGCAATACATAATAATATAACAACAAATAATATTGCTAGCCAATCTTTAAAGGCTTGAGGTGTAAGTGACGTAATTAATTGAATATGTGATCTCATTTTTTCTTTTCTTTTTTTTTCGCATGAGTATATAGAACCCTTTTCACTTTATATCATTAGTAAAATGAGTATCAATAGGGGGCCTCCTTATTGCTGCCAGATTTTGGCGCAAAAGGAGGTCAATGGGTATCAATAGGGAAAAATACTCAATAGGGTACCAATAGGGTCTTTATCATTTGTAAACTATTTAATCAATAGTTACCAATAGGGTATTAAACCTTCAATAGGGTTTAATCAATAGGGTTACCATCGGTTTGGAGAGCAATTGTGGATGTTAATCCAATTTAGCTCCGATGGTTAACTAGGTTTGGGGTTTATCACACTTATATATGTGGTATGATGTCATGAAACTCTTAAGCTGGTGTTGCAACCGTGGGAAAGACTTGGCTAACATGAGGTCAAATTAACTCAGGGTTACAAACATAGGTTATGCGAGATGAATGTTATAAGGGATTCGGATTTAATGATAATGTGTTATTAAGGAATGTATTTATTTATTTAGTTATTTGGTCGGAGCAAAAGGAACTTCATAATAATGTTCTTTATTAATATAAGCGTTATATTTATACTTTTCAAAATCAAGTGGTCTTGGACCAAGATCTGTGGTCTCAGATCCTTATCGGTGGACAAATATAATAAGGAATACTAATACATTAAAAAAAAATATTACAAAGAAAAATTCGAACACAAAATTTTCGTAACACTAGGTCGGGTTATCACTTAACAGATCAAACTTAATTATCGGGAAGGGTTTATTATGTACAATAAAATAAGAAATGCAATACGACAATAAGAAATATCTAATACAATAAAATAAAAAGAATTAAAGGTCCTTGTATTGTTATTGTAGTTGCGGAGCTTAAGAAGTTCTTCACTGCCCGTGGCAGCTATAGAGTCTAATCACAACATGAGGTCCCTACAACCATGAAGCCTAATTACAACGAGATATCCTTGTACTCTATTTTAGTTGTAGACCCTATAAAAAAAAGGCAAAATTCTATTCAGATTTTGTTCAGTTTATTATTTTAAAATATGTGCATTTTCCGTAATAAAAATCCGAAAATTTGAATAGAATTTTGATTTTTTTTATAGGGGGATCAATCTCTAAAAATAAGGTTCTTGTTTGTCTGTAGCAACCATAGAACCTAATCAGAACATGAGGTCCTTGCATTGCTACCGCAATCATGGAGTATTAGATATAGTACACTCATCTAGTGATGCAAAACGGCTCTGCAGAACCGTAAGCCGATCGGCTTAGCCGAGTTATTTAACGGCTCCACGTAATACAA